CATTTTTTGAAAAACGACCGTTCGGGCAATACTTTCAATTTTTCAATGAACTAGAAATTTGCATACGCAATCGCATATGTAAATGAACACGGTTTTTTTGGAAACGAACGCTCGGGCAATACTTTTACTTTAGTTTTGATGCAAAAACGCATCATCGCACCGGCTCGCCTGGTGCGTTCCAGCCTTTGTTTTAAACCGTCACTACGCAGCACCCAGTCCGCGGGGAATGATATTTAAACAGGAGAGTCACGCGCGGTATGGGTACATACTTCCAAAGTTTCAGCCTTCTAGCTTTTCTCATTCTCGAATTGAAAGTGGGTGACAAAAAATGCAAACACGCACACACATATACACACACACACACACACACACACACACACGAACAGACAGTTTTTTTCCAATATGCGTTTTTGCATATATGCATGTATGCAAAAGCGCATAAAAACGCACACTGCAACGAATCTGTCTGTGTGCGTTTGTTTGTGTGTGTACGAGTTAGTGCATGCACGAGTGTGTGTGTATGTGTGTGTGTTTGTCTGTACGGGTATTTCAACTCGTCAATCAAGTAAGCTCCGGGGTTAAAATTTTGCCAACGCGTTCCCTGGTCAAGTGCAACTCCAAAACCGCGGTATCAATCCTCATACAGGTCTAGGCCACGCGTACGACCACGTGAAAGTTTTGGCGGGAAAACTGCTAACTCGAGAACTAGGAAAGCTAGAAGGCTGAAATCTTGAGGTTATGTCCCCTGCCTGCATAGAACTCAAAGATTTCAAATTCAGTCCCCAGGTGCGCGTGGTTCCCGAGTACAGCCTTTGAGGATTCCTGGTGGAAAAATTGCTAACTTGAGGACTAGGAAAGCCAGGAGGCTGAAATTTTAAGGGGAATTTCCCCGTCCATGCAAATCTTAAAACCATCAAACTCAGAAAACAGGCATGTGTGGTTCTCACGTACGGCGCGTGAAAATTTTTAGCAGGAAAAATTGCTAACTCAGAGAAGAGGAAGACTGAGAAACGGAAATTTTAAAAGGGTGTTCCCAGCCCATGTACAACTTGAATTTATCAAATTCAGCGCGCAGGTATGCATGGTTTTCACCTACAGCCCGGTAAAATTTTTTGGGGGAAAATAGTTAACTCTGGAACCAGGAAAGCTGGGAGGCTGAGATTTTGAAGTGATGTCTCCAGCCCAAGCACAACCTAAAGATTTTAAACCCAGGCTCTAGGCATGCCCCCACGTCAAGTGCTGCCCCAAGAAAGTTTTGATGGGAAAACTGGTAGCTCCGGAACCAGAAATGCTGGAAAGCTGAGATTTTAGGAAAATATTCCCCATCCAGATGCAACCTGAAGGTTTCAAATC